AGACTGTTCATTTCTGATGTTGAGATCAGATTAAAGCCTCCCAGCTGCGACTCTGTAACCCTAGAAGAGAGAAGACACCGGCACAGTGATCTTTAGCAGCTCAGTTGAAATAACCGCACGCATATACCAAGCCACTCACAAACTGCACACTCCACTCTCATCAGCACTAACCACTTTACTGCTTCTTACGGTCCTGAAAATTCAAACTCTTCTGTGTTTTAAGATTCACACTGAATGGTTTGTCGTTGAATTTAGCAGTAAATTCCCTTCTTTTAAAAAAAAATCCACATTTGATAATTGTGGCAAAAGTGCATACAATTCTGCTGTTGTTTTTGCTACTTTGCAAAGGATGGCGAGTTAGTCCAGAAAGAAAACAGCATCCGGCATGTCCCACGTTGCTTGACTGGAGCAAGACTTCTTATTCTCAAAGTAGCATCTATATAATCTAGACCTGAATCGCGAATTTAAAAAAAAATCATGCATTTACCTTCAAAATATATCCTGCCCCCTCTCTTTGCAAGTCGTGTCGTTTTTGTTTTGCTGAAACTTGCTCGCAGAATAAATAATTTCTCGCGGTGTGCACTTTATTCCATAAACTACACCATTTCTGCAGTGCCTCCCAGCGCAGGCCCTTATATAGTATACGATGCATGTGGTAGTTCAATATGATATTATCGACTTGAGGTGGGTGGTAAACAATAAAAGTCCACTTGGCAACCTTTGTTCGGTAACTTTCGTTAGATCTTTCCCAACCTTTTACTGTCTATTCGCAGACGTAATCGGTCCCACCGGATTACCCCGGCGTGTCTTTAATTGGAAACGTGTTAACGCGATTTGAAAATACATCCTTCCCGATCAAGCACTCCTTGAATTGCATTATTTTCGTCAGCCCGGATGATGATGAGACCGTCACTGACTGACAACGCTGCGTGGATACCAGGAACTTCTTTTCTATCCCCTTTCCCCTTCCCTCAGCCAGGAACCGGTAACTGCCATTATATTCCTGCCTCTTGCAGTTTATTTGATGATCCTCAGGATATGATTTCTGATAAACACGTTTACTTCTTCAAGTCTAATTTCCGACGTGACAAATTATTGGAAACGCTGTGATAAGGATGTTAAAGTCAGCGAGAAGTATGTACTTACATATAAAACACTGCAGTTAGACACAGCTATTCAAAGATGCAACGGTGCCGGTATTAAACCTTTAACAGTACCTATTTAATCAGAATGTTGTTTACCACTCCCTTCAGGTTCAAACAAATACCAAAGTGTGTGTGCGGACCTGGTGTGAGCAAGAGTTGTCCAACTCTATACGAAACCGTGATTTTGATGATTTCAATTAACTTCCTATTTATTGTAACCTTATAATGAAGCCCCCTACCCCGCTTAATGCTGTGAATGTAGGCACGTCAAATGTAGAAATTTGGAGAAAATGCACAAACAGTCATTTGTAGGGACATATAAACTGAGGAGAAAACTGACAACAGCGCCATTCAGCGACTGGCCGGAATCAGTCAGGCCACCGTGCCCTACAAATTAGGGGATTGGATTCACAGTGCGCTTCAGTTAGATATAATTTATTCATGGAAACTTCCGCCGGTATTGATCGACCATGTACAGTTGATCTCATGATGCCGCTTGCATAATCTATAGAATAACCACTTGCCGTAGAAAATCCCCTTTGAGGGAATATTGGTGTTAAAGGATTCAGACTCCTAACAACAATGCAAATGTTCACCCAAGTTACCGTTCATAAATGCATGGATTACTAAAGAAAAATGTTGTTCTTCAATGAGGTTTGAAGGTGAACGGATCTCTGGCCTTATGTTAGGGAAAAAATGGTGGTGACTAGCCTACCTCCTCCCACTAGATGCCACTCATTCGCTTGATATATACGCCATGAGTAACAAAGCATTTTCCCCATTTGGTTTTGTATGACAAACCCTTCGATAGATCATATGATGCCATAGCCTGTTCATTAATTTTGGTGCAAAAGTTTAACAGCAACATATAATTGTATAATACCTTCACCAAGGCATATAACATTATATGAGGTCAGATAAAAGCTTGATCAAAGCAGTCATGCGTTTCCTAAAAGGAGGAACACTTGGTAGAGAAGTATGGGGAGAAAGCTTAGGGCCAGGGCAACTGAAGGCATGGCCATGGATGGTGGAATTAGGAATGTCCCTTGGGATTGGGCATAAAGGGGAAGCATTAGAGGAGTGTAAGTATTTTAGAGGGTTGCGGGACTGTCAGAGATTGCAGAGATAGAGAAAGGGTGATATCATGGAGGGGTTTGAAAACAAGATAAGAATTTTTAAGTCAATGTGTTGCTTAACTGGGAGACAGTATAAGTCACAGAGTGATAGGGGAATGAGAGTTGCTGCAAACTGAAATATGGCAGCTGAATTTTGGTGACCTCATGTTTATAAAGGGTAGAATGTGGGAAACCAACCAAGGGTATATAAAATTTGAGTAAATAAGAGGAATGTAATGTCAAGAGAATGTAGTAAAGGATTTGTTGAATCTTTGATCTGAGTGTTTTCAATTCTTCAAAATAAGATTATAAACATGGCCAATTTTTTTTATGGGCTATGGCTTTGCAAAATTCATAAATTAAAAATGTGGGAATTCTGAAATTCAGCATCAAATTGAAAGTTAACCACTTTATTCTAGGCCAAACATGGTGATTGTGGAAACAAAGCCAAAAACGTCAGAAGCTTTTTTGCACTAATGACTGAAGTCTACTTTGGTGTTTTCTCCAATTAGCTGCTGGGGTTGTAACCGTTTAATCTATATAAGTGCATTCTTTTTAACCAATAAGTAAGATCTGGCTAAAATCCTGTGCTTATGCAGCATTTTCAGTTTTCCAATACTAAAACTTTTCATTCAATAATACATTTCAAGCAATGACTACTGATTTGTACAGAGAATGATTTATCTATTCTTTATGTAGGCCCATTGTCTCATGGGTGTTACATCTTCCCTCCCCTTCCCATGTAATCAAGGGATAACCTAAATAAAACATGTAATTGATAAACTAAATAATTTACATTTATTTAAGATGATTGTCATCATATCCCTTCATAAGTGGACAAAGTTACTACAAAGTTTACTCTGGAGAACATATGTTCCTAATAAATATGGAAAAGTAAACTGCTAATACTGGTAATCTTGAATAGAACAACAAAATTCTGGAAATATACAGAAAATCCATTATATTTATAACACAGAAAACTTTTGTCTAAGAATAACAACAATGTTTATTTTATGATCCCTTTAATTTAGAATAACATCCCAAAATGTTTCACAGAAACATAATCTGGCAAAAATATGAATGCTGAGCGAAAGAAACAGATATTAGAAAGGATGACCTTAAACTTGGCCAAAGAGATATGTTTTATTCAGGGCCTTAAAGGAACAGAGAGAAGTTTGGAGAGATGTTCTTGAATGTAGAGCATAGATGGCAGAAGCACCGCTGCCAATGGTGGTTTGCAGGTATTGGGGGTGAAAAGCACAAGGGGCTTAAAAAAGAAACACACAATTCTCAGATGGTTTGCAGGTTAACATTTTGAGTGGGCACTCTTTGCCAGAATCTGAATGGGTTGCAGAAGGCAAGATCTCTTATATTAGGAAGTCTTGCATCCGTTAGGTTTTGCAATGGGCATTGTATAATTTGAATTTAAGATGTTATTACTATAGAAGAGAAGCAACACTTCTACCCGCTCATTTAATGTGACACTGGTAGGAAGCATTTCCACCCACAAAGGGTGGTAGAAGCTTGGAACTCTCTTCCACAAATAACAGTTGATGCTAGATCGGTTGTTCATTTTAAGTCTGAGATAGATACATTTTTGTTAAGCAAAGATGTTAAAGGATTCGCACCAAGCTGAGGTATATGGAATTAGGCCATAGATCAGCCAGATTCCATTGAATGACAGAACAGGCTTGAGGGGCTGAATGGCCTACTCGCTTCATATGTTCCTATAAAATTTCTGTATTGTATTGTGACACTTGTACAGTGTACATATTAATGTTTAGATCAGTATTAGTCATAAAATATTAACTTTAGTAGTGGAATACTAGCATGTAAATAGTCCTAAAACGTATTACAATGTCATAATGGAAAATGGCAAAGTGACGCAAAGAGCAATAATCTGAAATTATAGCACTATTAATTACTTCAGTACCATAATTAGTTTTAATTTATAATACCTTGAGATTTTGAGGAGAGTCATACAATCAGTTGAAAACTACTATGTAAACATTTTCCGTAGGAATTCAAATCTACAAATTGCCATATTTACCTGTTACACTCCCTTGTGAGTTCAGCAGGTGATGTTTTACAAGAATCTTCTTTCTCAATCTGATCACTGACCTATAAAGGCTCACTGTAATGCCACAGCATTGCGTTGTATTGCTTATTGTAAAGGTAAACTCAAAATGCTTTCTGAACATAAAATCATATGTGTATTTTTCTCAATAACTGAAATTAATTCTGTCATACTTATTTTGCAAAATAACATGAAAAGGAGAAATTATTTCACTCAAAGGATTGTGAATCTTTGGAATACTCTGAAGGACTGTGGGTCAGTGAATGCATTTAAGGCTAACACAGATCAACCTTTGGTCTCTCAGGAAAGCAAAGGATGTGGAGAGCAGACAGGAAAATAAAGTTAAAGCCCAAGATCTGTCGAGATCATATTGAATGGCAGAGTAGGCTTGAAGAGCTATATGGTTTACTCCTGCTCCTGTTTATTGTGTTCTCAAGTATAATTAAACATATGAGTTGACTTAACCATTGAATAATTCTCTCCTGTTTCTCTAATCGCCTTTCTAAGATTATCTTGTTTTAATTCATTCTTGGGATGTGGGCCAGTATTTATTGCCCATCCTTAGTTGCCCTTGAAAAGACAGTAATGATCTGTCTTCTTGAACTGCTGCAGTCCATGTGTTGTATGTACGCTCTCAATGCTATTAGGGAGGGAATTCCAGGAGTTTGACCAAGTAGTCATGAATTAACAATGATATATTTCTCAGTCACGATAGTGAGTAGCTTGGAGGGGAACTGGCAGCTGATGGTGTTCTCATGTATCTGCTAATCTTGCCCTACTTCGTAGTGGTTGTGGATTTGGCAGGAGCCACAGTGAATTTTTGCAATTTTTGTAAATGGTACACTGCTGCTATTGAGCTTCAGTAGTGGAAGGAATGGCTGTGATGCCAATCAAGCAGACAGCTTTGTCCTGAATGGTATTGAGAGTTTCTGGAGAAGCATTCATCCAAGCAAGAGAAGTATTCTATCACAAGCCTGACTTACGCCTTGTAGATGGTGCACAGGCTTTAGGGAGTCAGGAGATGCGTTACTTGCTGCAGGATTTCTAGCCCCTGACCTGTGCTTGTAGCCACTGAATTTTATATGGATAGTCCAGTTTCTGGTAAATGATAAACCCCATGCTGTTCATAGTGGGAGATTCAGTGATGGTAAAGCTGTTGAATTTAGTTTGATTGACTCTTGTTGGAAATGGTCATTGCTTGGCATTTGTGTCGCACAGTTGTTATTTGCTACTTTTCAGCTAAGCCTGGATATTGTCCAAGTTTT